TAGGTTTGGACATAAATTCTATCAGATGCAACAAGGTTGTTGTAAGACACTGCTGAGGAAGTTAACGCACGAGAAAAAAGGAAAGTCGTTGCAGCCTATAGAGCAGACAGATGGTCTGGAATATATAAAGAGATACTACATAGTTAGACAAATCTATGGAACAAGCAGTTTGCGCGGAAATAAATTTGATCAATAATCATAACAAAAGTTCTTCCAAATCCATGCAAGTAGTGGGAAACTTTTCTACCACCAGAGGTGTGCAGTAAACCTGGTGATGTGTGATGTGTGCACTGGCACACATGTGGCAGTGTCCTAGACTAAAAACACACAAGTCCTGTGACCCGGTAACAACTTCACTCCTGGAAATCTGTTCCGCACAAACTCACCGAGAAGCATATGAAACTGTGCAGAATTCTTAGCAAAACGGGAAAATTGGAAACAACCCAAATGCCAAAAAGCAAGGGGTTTGTAGAGTCAGTGTGAGTGTTCAGGCAGGAAAAAATGGGGAGATCCTGGTGCCGGAAGTGTGTGACCAGCAGTGTGTCAGTTCTGGAAAGGCAGAATTTCAACAAAAAATGCCTGGAAATAAATATATGGTTTAGCTGACAGTCACAGCAGACATATACAGTGGTCCCCAGAAACCAGGAGTTAATTTCCAACTTGGCCATTATTACCTGTATTTGCAGACTGTGCTTGCTCACCTAAAAACACAGCTGATTTTCTTACCTTATTAGATTCGTACATTCAAAAGTAAGGACACGGTGTTGCGTAATGTGACTATTTGGCCAGAGTTTGGCAACCGAATAAGTTTCAGAAGATGGGGTGCATCTAGCAGGACCTTCATGGAACTTTATAGAACCTGATCATGGTTTCTGAGGGCCATGTAAAGTGTATTGTAGGAAGCGTTTTGTGGTCAACCCAGCTTAGTGAGAAAAGCAAGTGTGTTTTTCTGGTTGATGATATAAACAAGCGTCTTCTGAAAGCCTTTCCTGTTTCATCTGATTCACTTGGTTGGGGGCGGGGGGGATGCATCATGTATGCATGTGCAGTGAAAAAAGCAGAATTTTAGAATTTATCAAAATGTATGTTCTAGCATTTTAAAATGCTGCCCTCAGATTTATCAGGGCATAGTGCTTTTTTTTTTTTTCCTGGAAAGAGGATGAGCAATTGTTCATACTCCTGGTACTGCTCTGGTTTCTTGGAATCTGCCTGGGTCCTTGCACAGCTAGCCCAAGTTCACAAATACTGCTTCTGCCATTGAATTACCGGAGAGATCATACCTCTGATTTAAAGTATGTTGTTGCATTATTTCTGGTTGCATATTTTAATCTGGGAAAGCTGATGTATCGCAATTTCAGACCCTGATTGAGAAATGAAATGTTTTTCATAATGAAATCCTATGTCTGCTCTTACATGGCGTGTCATTACATGGCAGGGTCCTGTGTCATTTTTTATATGCAGCTTCTCTGCTAACGTGCTCTCCTCCATTGATGTAAGTATTGCTCAGTGGCGTGTTTTCTAGGCACATTCCATGTGTTTTCTTTTCCATGGGGGGGTGGTTGTTTATCATTTTTTTATCATATTTTTCCCCATTTCTATCCATTCCTCATCTTAGGCCTTCCCTGCACCTGAGGCGCGGCCGTAAGACCGGCCCGGTTTCAGCGCAGCTGCCCTGGGACGCTCGGCCTGCACCCCGTCCAGCCACCATGGGGACCGCTCAGGTAATGTCCCTGCTTTCCTTCCGTCCTCTGTCCTCCCAGCGGGTGGCGGGAGGGAGGATGCTCTCCAGGCACACAGGTGGCTGCTCTGAGCCCCTGGGGATGCCCTGAGCGCTGTGATGAGGTCAGGCTTCTTGGATGTGTGGCCTCAGTGCTGTGTGTCTGTGCCCCGTGGAGCAGGTGATGGCCATGGACAAACCCAGCCCCCCCCTTCCCCAGAATGGAGCTTCCCTGGCAGCTCTGGTTCTTTCGAAATGGTTTCTGGTGGAGACCTTCATGTGGCCTCGGCAGTGGTGGTGTGTGTGTGTGGGGGGGGGACCCAGGAGCAGGTGACAGTGAGCAGGGACACACAGGTCCAAACCACAGCAGGTGGACTGCCTCACATCCCCAAATCCCTAATACCCGGTGTTCCAGGAATCCTCAACAGCCCCACACACCACGCACCTGCCTGCAGACACGGCTGGAGACATGTGAGGGCAGGGCTGTGGCCTTCCCTCCTCAGGGCCGACAGGTGGACCACACCGTCAGCTGGACCCCGCCCAGGGCCAGTGGGTAGACCACACCGTCAGCTGCACCCCCACCCCCCCCCGGGACAGTGGGTAGACCACACCATCAGCTGGGGCCCCCTCAGGGACAGCGGGTAGACCACACCGTCCGTGCGCCCCCTCTGCCCCAGCAGACTGTCCGTGGGGCCTCGTCAGGGCTCTTCACTCCTCAGCGTCCTCGAAGCTCGAGACCGTCAGCACCCCCTTCTGCTGGGGATTAGCTGCGGCCCTTGGTCTGAGAGCAGAGTTCACTCTGGTTTCTTTGAGCAGAGAAGGTGTTTGTTACAAAGGATGTTAGGTGCATCATGGGCCTTTTCATGGGGCTGGATAAAGAGGTCCTATGCTCGGCCGCCAGCCCCATCGCTGGGACCCCCTCGTGACGAGGACACCACCCCCAGATGCACAAGCCCCTAGCGGGGATGGGCCGCATGGGCACAGTGTAGGCCCCAGGAAGCCTGAGAGCAGTTCTGACGTTGCTGGTGTGTGTTTTGGTGTTGCTCCTGGGGCGGGTCATTCAGAGGTGCGGGCGGCTGTGGTCCTGGGCTGGTCCCACGTGGAGGCCACTGCTGGAGCCACTTGGCAGCCCGCCCGTCTCCACCCTGTTCTTGACTGATGGGTGTGGTTCTCCCATGTGAGGTGACAACAGTAGACTTTATCCCAAATGGGGATTGCAGAGGTGAGGGAGCTGCCAGGGCTCCTACCTCCCTGTGACTCCCCTCTGCCGCCGCCACCTATGCCATCAGACCAGCCCCCACCCTGGCTGTGCGGCTCACGTGCCTTCAGCCGAGACAGCTGGTTACTGGATGAGGTCGTCTCTGTAGGTTCTGCTTCAGAGGGCAGAGCCCTGACCTTGGGAGCCTGTGCAGGTGCGGCGACGGTGTCTGAGGGGTTGGCCTGCGTTCCGAACCAGGGGATTGTCGTGGTTGGGGTGGGCCTGCCGTGTGCGGGACGCTCGGCATCCCAGACCTCCAGCCCCACCCTCCCTCCAGCCGTGGAGACAGAAGTGTCTCCAGACATTGCCGAGTGGCCTTGAGGGTCCCCCCGCCCCCCGCCACCAGCGAAGCCCCTGAGGTTTGCCGGAGTCAGGTAGTTCATCACCTTCCCTCATCTTGCTCTGTGTCTGAGTACCTGGGAGGGGGCTGTTGCTCTCGTTCAGGACACTGTGAACTTGACTGTTCTCTGCTTCTGTTCTCACCAGTCAGGTTTGTCAGTTTTAATGATCTTAATCAGCCAGATTTTGTGTCACTGATTTTTAGTATTATTTTTATATTTTCTGTTTCTCTTATAACTCTTCTGGTCTTGATCATTTCCTTTCTTCTACTTACTTTGCTTTGATCCCTGTTTTTTTTTTTTAAAGATCGACACTGCAGTGAATGATTTGAGACTCCTCCCTGCCTGATAGACATTTAGTGTTATGAATTCCCTGAGAATGATATCTTGTTGGGTGCCGAAGAGGTTTGTGTTTCTGTAAACATTCCTGAGAGGCGGTGAATCACTGGGAAAGAATATAGTGCCTTGGATTTTGCGGGATGTGCTGTCAGAAGCCCTTCCTCCCCACCCTTCTGCGGCCTGGCCCGGCCCCGGCCTAGACGAACTGCCCACTGTCCACCCCCTGGGCTTGGGTTCCGCTCGGCCACACAGCTTCCATCTGCGTTCTCAGAAGTTCCTTAATGATTTTTCTGTGTGGGCGGAATGTTCTTGTTTTCCAGCTGTGTTTGGGATTTATTCCCTTTTCCCCCACCACCAGCCATTATATGGATTTGCAGGAGAGGGAGGCAAACAGAGACCCCATCTCCCCACCTGCGTCTCGTCTTTCTCAGCTGCTCTGTTCTGCCAGTGGAGAGACCTGTGTCCCCTCCCAGAGGCTGCTCCAAATCCCTCGGGGAGGCCTTCTGTCTCCTTTATGTTGCTCATTCTCAAGTGGAGTGGTTTTGCTCCCATGGCCATTGGCAGTGTCCAGAGAGATTTCTGGTGTTCACAACGGGGGGTGGGCGCCGCCTGCATCTGGCTGGTCAAGGGCACGATGCTCTAATCCTCCCTCGGTGCTCAGGACAGCCCCCACCACGAGGAGTGATCGGGTCCAAACGTCATAAGAGATAGAGTTCAGGAACCTTGCTTTACTTTTGTGACCTAACCTATCCTACTTAGGTGTCCTTAGGAGGCTGAATAACAAAGAAAAGGAGTAATGTAATCTTGTGCAAAACCGCTTGTCTTCAGTAGGAGGGTTTTGCTCAGGAACCCTAAGGACTTTGATTGGCTTGCATACAAATTCATGTACATACATTATATTTAAAATGCGCATTTGGACTTTTTGGAGTAACAATAAAATGTTTTTGAAACAACCTACTGGAAATATTCACACGCTTATGTTCTCATGGATATAATGGCTCCGTGTAATCTCACGCGTAACCCTGACATTGGTAATTATTCAACCCTCATGCAGGATTTGGAACAGTATTTACATTTCTGTTGTGCTCATGCAAGGATAAGAACAGGCTGTAGTTTGATGTTTGTCTCATTTAAAGTAAGGGAAATCATAGAAAGGGTTCTTAGCATTGCTTCTGAATCAAGCCACAGTAATTCTGAATGTAGAAATCTAGTTTATTTTGCAAAAGAAAACTCACTCTCCTCAAGGTAACTATGAATAGATCTATGTTGCTCCGAGACAAAGATTTATAGGAAGAGAAAGAAAATACTACCACTTATGGTCCTAAATGTGTGTATACAGTACATTCATGCTTCACGAAACAGCCCTCTGTTAAAGCATTATTCATTTTCTTTGGGTAGAGTCACCGGTTTTTAGTTAGGGTTTTGGTTAACTTTGGCAAACCCGTTGTTTTTTTTTAATTACACATGGATTCAGTTTGGTTTAACTGTTTACTGAATTAAACCTACTGGTGCTTTCTTTCCTTCCTCCTCATTAGCAAGAAAGCCAGGAAGGTACTCGTATCCCCTGTCTGGTTGATGGAGAATCCAGTTTCTGATGTAGGGGTGAATGGAGGTGGGGTGTGGACAGGTGACCACTGTTTGCTTGGCGGTGGGAAGCCCAGGTTCTAGTTCAGATTCGTCCATGACTCTTCCTTGTCTGGGGCAGACTTGGCTCCTAGGCGTGTCTCACTTCCAGTCCTGTAAGTGAGGGGATTGGGTCCTCAGTTCTCACGGTCAGACCACGTATACCTGCCAGGATTTCACACGTGGTTGAAGAGTATCTAGCACTTTTATAAATAAATGGTTTAACCTTTTTAGTTCAGTAAGTATGTTTGTATTATATAAGTTGTTTGTGGAAGTACCTTCTATCTAGCTAATTCAGAGATTTGCCTGTAGAAATTGTGAACATTGTAATTGTAAATTGTTTTAAGCTCTGTGTCTCTTCCTTTTTATTTATGTATTATTTATTATTTTTATGTTGTATGTTTGAGAGAGAGAGCATGTGCACACATGAACAGGAGAGGGGCCGAGGAAGAGAATCTCAGGCAGGCTTCACACTCAGCCTGGAGCCCAACATGGGGATTGATCCCAAGGCCCTGGGATCATGATCTGAGCTAAAATCAAGAGTTGGACACTCAACCAACTGAGCTCCCCAGGTGCCCCTGTCTCTTCCTTTTTAAAAACCATGCAAGCAGTATATATTACCATGGAAAACTTGGCATGAATAAAAATTCAGAGATGGTCATTGTTGACATGTTTACTTTTCATATTTTCCCATGTTCTTATATGCATATAGCCACATTTTGTTTTAATAAAATGATTGTACCAATGACAAATGTTTTAGCAAATTAATACAGTATATTATTGGCAACTCTCCTTATCTATGACAATATTTAAAAATATTTTAATAGTGACGAAGCGTTCCGTGATATGGGAATCTCCCAGGCTGGCAGCCGTGTCCAGTCTCTGGGGATATAAATAGTGCCTGTACGAATTACCTCTACTCAGCTAATTATTCTCTTAGAATAAATTTGTGAATTTAAAAGGTTTCAAAAGATAGGAAAATTTAAAAACTTTCACTATACCTTTCAAATGTGGTATTCACAAAAAGCACCTGTACGTTTTCTCCCAACACCACACACTCAACGACGTTTGCTTTTTACATTTTCTGTATAATTACGGGCTTGGCAGGTGATCTGTATTTGGCAGTTTGTTTACTTAGGCTAGCGGTTCTGTTGAGTGTATTTTTTTCCTACTTTACCTTTGGGTTGGTATGTAAATAGCATGGCGTGGGGTCTTTCCCTCATACCAGTATTATTAGCATGTTTATTTTACCATTTTGAAATCTAAACTGTAAGGTATTAGCTGTTTTCATGTATTTATGATCCAAATATTTTTTTAAACTTTTTTTTAATTTAATTTTGAGAGAGAGACAGAGAGCGTGTATGTGCACATGAGCAGAGGAGGGGCAAACAGAGGGACAGAGGATCTGAAGTGGATCTGAGTGGGTCTGAAATTCGACGCGGGGCTCAAACTCATGAATCATGAGATTGTGACTTGAGCTGACATTGGGGCTCAACCAACTGAACCACCCAGGTGCCCCCCAAATATATTTTTTGTTTCTCACATTGACATTTCACCTTCAACTGCATGATTTTTTTCATATGGAAGAAGCATATTGTCATACAGTCATGTCATGAATGTATTCCCTCATGATTTCCGTCTTTGGGGAACACTTAAAAAGCCTTTCTTTGCTAAAATTTGCATAAACATTTAGCCATATTTCACTTTAACATTTTATTTGCTTTTACGTTTTTTAATTCTTCTGGATTTATTTTGGTTTACGTATAAAGTGAAGGCTGTCCTTTTGCACTGATTGGCTAACCAGACACTGAAGTATTATTTCCTGAGAAATGAGGATTATCTTTTTATTTGGGGAAAATGCTAAGTGAGGTGGACTCCTCTATCACTGTCCCCTTTCCCTTGACTTCTGTGGGTAAACATTTACGGTAAAGCTCTTTATTTATTGCAAAGTGCCTGGTGATTTCAGAATCGTGTACTTGTGTGGGGACGTGTGCCTTAGCTGAAGTCTCCAGTGATCGTGGAAAGGTGGCGCTTGGCTTTCAGGAAAATCCCAACTGTGACAACACTGTGTGATCATATTGGATGTAGGGACCAGCCTGGACAGTCTATTGCAGATGGGCTTTTCTTTCCCCCTGAAGCCAGTTCCTGTAATGAGTGATGTCTGCAGGGCGTCTGCACACTCCAGTGTCGCACGTGAATGTGTTTGCCTGACTTTCCGGTTGATGGACCCAGTTACAGACCCAACAAGCATATTCAAAGCCGCCCTGTGGTTACAGCAGACAGGATAGGGATTAGACAGGTCCATGTGCAAATACTTCTTTGTGTATTGTTTTCCCTAACGGTACATGTGTAATCAGCACAGACACCTGACAGTGTCACGCAGCGGTGATATGGGTATATGAGTAATTTACTCCTAGACTTTTGGGAAGGCATAGTGCTAGAGTAAGCATTTTATTGCCCTTATCCGGAGAGAATTCAGGTCTTCTTCTGTAACAGAATACCACGAACTTGTTGGCTTAAACAACAAATTTATTGTCTTCGAGTCCCCAACTCATGCTTTCTCTCTCTGTCTCTCAAAAAGAGTTTAATTGTAGAGGGGCAGAGAGAGAGTTAGACACAGAATCCGAAGCAGGCTCCAGGCTCTGAGCTGTCAACACAGAGCCCGACGCATGGCTCGAACTCATGAACCATGAGATCATGACCTGAACTGAAGTGGGACACTCAACCGACTGAGCCCCCCAGACGCCTCCTTACCATTTTTATAGTAGAAAATATTGTTTATTGAGGCTGAGGATTCCTCAGTAGGATCTGGATTTCTAATTTTTTATCAGTGTGGTGGGCTTACCTTTTTCTGTGACATATATGGACATAATTAAGGTGTTGCCCTGATTAAGAATGAAATAACTGAAGGATGGAAGTCATTACTGTTCTTGATGAACATTAAAATGTTAATGTTAAAGAGAACTGCAGTGTGAATTACTTGCCCTGAATCAGTCCGGGCTGGTGAGCACACGGAGACCCATCTCAGGAAGCAGTTATATTGAGCCACCCTGTCACTGGCCCCTCAAAGATAGCAGTCTTGCATTGAGTGCAGGAGCGCAGGCTGGGGAGTCAGGACAGGGACACGGTAGGCACTGCGGGAAACTTCCGGGCTGGTGCCTGCCACTTGGGTTTGCAGACAGAGCCACGGGCGCATGTGGGGCGCTTCAAGCATGGATGAGCAGAGGAACAAAAAGACAGACGGGATGAACAAGCCAGTCTCGTTTTAGGAAGTCTGTGAGTGGTTCTGGACGGAAGCAGGCTAAGGAATGCTTTTCTTGTTTTCTAGCGCCACGAACATGGTATTCAGGACATTGCTGTTGGAACGAACAAACTATTTTTAGTTGAAAAAAAAAACAGTTGTAAATTTCCTTGCTACCTGCCGCTTATCTGCATTTTAGCTTGTATCTCTTTAGAAGAGTTGGATCTTTTTGCCTTAAAAAAAGATCCGTCCTCCTCTACCAAACCGCTGTAAAGAAAGAAGAGCTTTTTAGAAATACAGCTTTGGGGTCATATCCTTGTTGCCTGAGTTCTTCCGCCTGTGTGGGTTAGAATGCTATCATCCTGATGGTTTTATTTGTAGTTTCTTCCCAAATGTGCTCTACTTTATTTCTCCAAAGATATTTAAAGAACTGGGTACGCCTGGGTGACTCAGTTGAGTTTCCGACTCTTGATTTCGGCTCAGGTCATGATCCCAGGATTACAGGATCGAGCCCCACATCAGGCTCCATGCTTAGCATGAAACCTGGTTGGGATTCTTTTTCTCCCCCTCTCTGCCTCTTCCCTTCTCTTGCGCACGCACGCGCTCTCTCTCTAAGAAAAATATTTAAAGAACTTAAAGATTGAGACTTCATTAACTCAGCAAAGCTGTCACATTCAGTGTTACGTGTGTATCTGTGTTTATGAATGTACATGTTTGTGTGAACAGGTGTGTGTTGATGTTTGTGTGTGAGCAGATGTGTATCTATTTGTGTGAACAGGTGTGTATGTGTCTATTTGTATGAGCAGGTGTGTATTTGTGTGTGTAGATTTGTGTGAACAGCTGTGCATCTGGGTGTCTATTTGTGTGAGCAGGTATGTATCTGTGTGTGCACATTAGTGTGAACAGGAGTGTATCTGTGTATGTATTGGAGCAGGTGTGTGTCCGTGCAAGTGTCTGTGTCAGCAGGTGTGTGTGTGTACGTGTGTGTGCACGTGCATGTGCGTCATGAGGACAGGCGTGAGATCTCTAATCAGGGCCGAAAGCATACGACGAACTTTGCACCACAAGTGAGTGATCATATGACATAGAATATTTAAAATATTAGCTACTATTGTATTTCAGTTTTTCTTTAAATCCTTAGTGTTTTGTACTCGAACATCACTTACTTCTCGAGTCTAGTAAGCAGTGTCTGGGGTTTGAGATGTCTTTCTGCAGACACGTTCTGGAGAAGTTGATGAGAAGTCCAGGTGATGTTACAGGACCCTGGCCACGCCGTCGCCCGGCCACCACGCAACCCCCGCCCTGCGTCTGTCGCACAAGTGACGCGGAGCCGAGTGCGCGGGCGGGAGGGCGCTCTCTGGCCTCAGCGCTGAGGGAGCCGAGGCCCCTCCCCGGGCGTCCCGTGGTGCGGTGGCCGGAAGTGCCCCGGAGGCCCCTCCCCGGGCGTCCCGTGGTGCGGTGGCTGGAAGTGCTCCGGGTGTGCCGTGCGCGAGCCTGCGCTCAGGACCCCTGCCCCGTGCGGGGCCGCGGGGCCGGTCTCAGAGGCCCGGAGGGCGGTGAAGTACCAGCACGTGTGTGACCGCGGCTCGCACCTACCGGCCCGGGACCCGACGCCGCCCCGGATGCCCCGGACTCGGCTGCGCAGCGCTGACGCCGTGTTTCCGCGTTTCCTGCGTCACCGTATAGCCGCACGCCTCCTTCGCTGACGTCGGGACGCGTGTCCTCCCTCGGACGACTCTGCCCCTGGCGGGACGACGCGCCTTTACTTACATAAGAAAATAAACACCTAGATTTAAAGAACCATCTGTAACAGCAGAACAGACGGCAGCACAACAGCTGTGTTGTTCTCAGGAGCTTTTTTCTCTGGTCTTAAATTTAGACCCAGCCGCCCCACAGCCACCGACGGGGGGAAATGGAGCCCGCGCAGCCGCCCGGCCCCGTGGTGACGCCGCCACTCGCGGCCACGGCGGAGTGCGTGCCACGCCTGAGGGGGGCCCACGGCCTGGACCCCCAGCCGCGAGCAGACGGCCGGCCGCGGCCTCGCCCGCTCCCCGGTGGGGTGGCCCTGGCCCTGGGCCCTGCACCCACCGCGAAAGCTTCGGCCTCCCGAGGTGCCCCTTGTGACCTGCCATGTCGCTGCGGACGACAACACTTGTGAAGTTTCCACTTGTGAGGGGTCTGGCCTTTGGTCGGTCACCGTAGATTGGTGTTTAAACTGGTAAATGGGTTTGCTGGAGTGTAGGCGGCGGGTGGTGTTTCTCCAGAGACTTTGAATCCGGCCTTCGCCCTGAATATACTTTGATTAACGCCCCGCCGGGAGCGCGGTGCTGACGGCAGACGCAGGCGCGGCCACTCGGGCTGCGTGTCCGGGCCTCGCGCGGGGAGGTTCGTCAGCAGTGCGTAGGGGGGGGGGGCGGTAGCCCGCTGGCGCACGCGCGCGTGTGAGCTCCGGGCGGCCCGGCCCCGTCGGCCGCGTGCTCCGGCCGTGAGGTGAGCACGCTGCCGCCGGCGCGGGGAGAGCGGGGCGCCTGCGGTGCCGGTGAGCGCCGCGGGCCCGGCTGCTGCTTCGGAGGCCGACGCCCGCCCTTGGCCTGTGCGGGGGTCGCCCTGTCGCTCCCCTGGAGCCCCGCTCCCCGCAGAACGAGAGGGCGGACCCCATTGTGTGTTACCTGCGGCACTCTCCCTGGTGCCCGGCACGCCATCAGTCTTCTCACTGAATTTATTAAACACCAGTTTCGACCACGACTATAAACTGAAACTCAGTGAAAACACTGGAGAATGTAATATTTAAACACTTGCATCTCTGAGAGTCCTTCTTGCAAAATGCATGCTGCGTGTTTATCGTCATTTCCCCTAAGAGCAGGCATGTGACGAGTTTTGTCTGCTTGGTTGGCTTGAGGTTGGGCCGTGTCCGGGGCCGGAGCCGGACGCACTGTGGACATTCAGTGTGTGTGTGTGTGTGTGTGTGGAGCATGTGTTGCGAGAGTTTCCCTCATGGTGAGATGGCGTCGTGGCGGGTGAGGGAAAGAGCCAGCCGCATCCGGGCCTCTGCAGGGATCCCATGTACACTCGGTAGAGTCCAGGCTACACTCATGGTCACATCTCCCTGCCCTTCTCCTGCACCTCTTGCCTGTGTCTCCCCCCAACTGAAGTTTAGGTGCCCTGAAGTCCAGCTAAAATCTGCTGTTAATTATGGTTATTATTTTATAGTAGTTGTTTTTTTAAAAGGAAAGTGGCCCAGAAGTTTTCCCCTTTCTGTGTTGGTGATCCTCAGTCCTCACCGTGTTCAAGAGTCCCATGTGGAGGGCAGGATAACTCACAGATTCCGGTTCACCCATCCTGGGGTGGGGTCCTGGCATCCGAGTGTTTGATGCCTCCTTGAAAATTCTAGAGCACGGGTCATCTGGGTGGCTCAGTTGGTTGAGTGTCCACCTCTTGATCTCCGCTCAGGTCATGGTCTTGTGATTCGTAGGCTTAAGGCCTGCATTGGGCTCTGTCTGTGCTGACAGCTCAGAACCTGTTTGGGATTCTTTCTCTCCCTCTCTCTTTCTTTCTCCCCTCTCTGCCCCTTCCCTTCTCTTGCGCGCTCTGTGTGTGTGTGTGTGTGTGTCTTGCTTTCTCTCACTCTCAAATAAGTGAACTTGAATAAAAAAGTTGTGGACTCCACTGCACACGAATAAAATAGAGATCTTTACGAATTTCATTTAATCTGTAATATACAGTGTTTGATAAGCTTAAAGTAAAAGAAAAAGAATATATCCCTTGACCCGTTGTATTTAGCTGTCACAGTTGGGCGAGCACCGAGGGGCCACTTGAGGCCTGCAAGAACAGCACAAGACACTAATGAAGAGGAAGCAGGGGTCATGTTTGCATGATGGAGATGGAGGCCGCTCACTGGAGGGGCCGTGATCACGGCCGCTGCGTTTCTCGAGCAGGAGCGGGCCGCTGGCTGGTGCTGCTGTTAGACCGGGCATCAGCTGGGTTCATTGTCATGTCGGCGGCTGAGAAATGGTCGGCTGTGATGTACACAGCACTGTGTTCAGTAGGAAAGCTCCCATTCCCTTTACTGACCTTATGCAGACTCCGTCCTCCTTGATGCTGCGATAGGAAGTCTGTGTGGCTTTATGTTACTGAAGCTTTGAGGTTCATTGATGGCCTAAAGATCAGGAAGTTGTCGGAACCCTGTTGTGAACAGAATGACAGAGACAGATGAAAGCTACAGAAGATAAACATGCAGAGATGCGGTGTGAAGAATTACCGTAAGGGGACAATTACTAGGATGTTCCGGACTGCACTGTGTTCCTTGTTCCCTGACACACCTTCTGCCCACAGTGACCACGGTCCTGACTTGTAAACTTCTCTCCCACATCCCTCAAGTCTGCCTCTGAGGGATGCCTCAGGTGCCTCTGTCCACCCGTGTCCTGGTCTCTGTAGTTGAGTCCTGACCTTTTCTCACCTGAGATGTCTCTGTGTCTCTCTTACACTTCTCTTCTGGGGCTCTTCAACCCAGATGCTGTTGTGCAGTCTGGATCCCATGCACAGGCTAACGGGGTGATGGATGCGCATTGAGGAGGCACTTGTGGGGATGGGCACTGGGTTTCAGATGTAATGATGAATCACTGGGTTCTACCTCTGAAAACAAGACTACTCTGTTAACTAACTTGCATTAAAACATGTTATAAAGTCATGGATTAAGTACATGTGATGTGTTTCAGTCGTGGTGATTTAGTGATGTTTGGACACCACTCTCTTTGGCGTGGGCGGGACCTCCTCAGGTTGGGCGGAGAGACCTTTGACATGACTCTAGAGTCTTTCTGTCTGTCTTTAGGTTTTTATTTAAATTCTAGTTAGTTAACAGTGTAATATTAGTTTCAGGTGTACGATATAGCAACTCAGCCCTTCCATACCACAGGTAGTGCTCATCACAAGGGCACTCCTGAAAATCCCCATCGCCTATTCCCCCCGTTCCCCCATCTACCTCCCTCCCCTCTGGTGACCATCTATGTGTTCTGTAGTTAAGAGTCTGTTTCTTGATTTGCCTCTCTCTCTGTTTTCTGTTTGCTCATTTGTTTTGTTAAATTCCACATATGAGTGAAATCATATGGTATTTGTCCTTCTTTGACAAATGCTTCTTAGCATTATACTCTCTGGATCCATCCATGTCCTTGTAAATGGCAAGATTTCATCTTTTTCATTGCTGCGCACTATTACATTGTGGATATCTACCACATCGTCTTTATCCATCCACCAGTCGAGGGACATTTGGATTCTCCATAGTTTGGCTGTTGTTGATAGTGCTGCTGTGAACATTGGGGTGCACATACCCTTTGAATTGGTGTTCTTATATTTGGGTAAATGCCTAACTCTGTAGTCTTTGATAGATGTTTATAGTGTCCATTAAAATTCAAATTCAGGGTGCGCCTGGGTGGCTCACTTGGTTAAGCGTTCGACTTCGGCTCACGGTTCGTGGGTTTGAGCCCCGCGTCAGGCTCTGTGCTGACAGCTCAGAGCCTGGAGCCTGTTTCGGATTCTGTATCTCCCTCTCTCTCTGACCCTCCCCTGTTCATGCTGTCTCTCTCTCCCTTTCTCAGAAATAAATAAAAAACTTTAAAAATATTTTAAAAAATTCAAATTCAGGACTCTGGGATTTTTTACTATGCCTCTTCTATATTGCCCTTGTATCTGTTTTCTTCCATGCTGCAAGTCCTGAGTTCCAAGAGCACAGGAGATAACAAGGGTTAGAATAACCTCTAATTAGGCACCTACCCTATCCCACACTGTACGTACAGGAATATTTAAACAATAGGGTGAATGCCACCACCCTCATGAGTGTCGAAAACCATTGAAGGTCTTTTTCAGAAGGTTTCACTTTTCTCCATGTTAGATGATGAGTATTGTCGGCACATCTGCCCATTAAATACCATCTTCTTCCTGTCGACCCTCATTCCGTCTTTGTTCTCCACATCATCGTGCTACTTCTCACTGCCCATCTTCACCTCACTGTCTCTGGCATGATTTCCTGCAGTTTCTTCAGAAGAAGCTCATGGAAAGAGCAATCCTCTAGCTAGTCCATGTCGATACCAGTTTTCCTGAGTCCTTTATACCCGGAGAGCAGTTTTGCTGAAGATAAAACTGGGTTTCTGTTCAGTTTCCCTGCAGGTGATACGGTGTTATTCCACTTGCCTCCACTGGTGGCGCTGTTGTGGAAGCTGCTGGCCGGAATCTCCTTTCCTTTCCAAGTCTCTTATCTGTCTGTCCAGATGCCAGAGGACTTTAATTTTCTCAGTGCCAGTGATGGAATTATGTAGCATGGCATTAGCTATTCTGAGCCGGTTTCTCTGCTGCTTTCAATATGTAGCCAAACCTGTTTCTTTGTTAAATTCAGTAAACTTTTCATGAATTATGTCTGTTCCACGGCTTTAATTTTCATTTTTGCAGACTTCCATCATCCTTTTTTTTTTTCTTTTTGCATTTTCTTTGCCTGCCTTAATATTTGGAACTCCCTTTTTGTTTTAAAGTTTCTTTTTTTCCCCTGCCTCTATCAATGCATCATTTATTGTGTTTATGTATTCTTATTTCTGGATTCTTGGTTTTCTGAAATGCAGTATCATGTATTTCTGTCTCCTTGTTCCTAAGTTCTTCCAGATTTGATTTACTTGTTCTTTTAAGTCTCACATCACTTTCTTCGTTTGTTATAATGTGTTGAGGGTAGTGGGTGGTGGGTTTGAATTACTTTGTGGGCCTCTGTTTCTGGTGCTGTTAATATGTGGGGTGTCATTCTATTCCTTTTTTAAAAATTAATTTTTCAGTTTTATTGAGATATTGCTCCTTTGTTTCTTATAACGTTGTCGTACCTGACCTTGATGCTTTTCCACTGCTCATTTTTATGTCACCTGGCTTTTGCTGAACGTTCTGAGGGAGGCTTTTCTCACCCCAGGAGCTCTCCCCGCTGTTGTTTGCATGTGGAGTTAAAAATACGACAGCGTGAGAGGTGAGGTTTCTTGGCTCTGTTTCCATTCCCCAGTTTTATCTTTACCTTCTCTTCCCGTAGCCTCAGTGTCCCCATCCTGCTCAGTTTTGATTGTGGGGCCCTCTGCCGACCTGTCTCTGCAGGGCAGGGGCTGTGTGCTGAGAACCTTCTGCTCCCTGGCTGTTGGGGGTTGGGTGGATCCCTTCTGTTGAAGTGGCTGTGTGTTCCGGCTGGCCCCATGTCTGCAG